CTGTCTAACCACAGAGATGCTTTCACACAACATGTTATCAGAATTTTTGTTAAATGCACTCTTTATACCTAGAATTTTAAATTATTTTTCATAATTGGGTCTGGACATTATGAGACTGTGTCTCCACAAAAAAACACAAAAATTAGCTGAATGTAGTGGCACATGCATACAGTCCTAGCTACTCTAGAGGCTAAATTGGGAGGATTGCTTGAGTCTGAGAGGTTGGGGGCTGCAGTGAGTCATGATCACAGCACTACACTCCAGCCTGAGCGACAGAATAAGACCCTGACTCAAAAGGAAACAAAAAAAAGTAAAGCTCTTTATAATATATGAAAAAAAGCTCAAGAAACCAACTTTTATTATCCAGATTACTGCTGTTAATATTTTAGAATACTTTTTTCTATCTGAACGATGTATATATTTTTCATTGCAATATTATGGTATGTTAAAATTAAATGTAGCTATTTTTAATACTGTCCACTTGTCATTAAGCAGAGCAAATGTCTTTCTACAGAAAATTTAAATAAAACCACAAAGAATATATGACACAATTTAACTTTTTAAAAATAATAATCAATATAGTCAATCATATTTAATGAAGTATATAACTAACGATAGCCAGAAGTAACTACTTTTGTTTATGTCCTCCACTTTTTCTATGCATTTTGATGTGCTTGAAATAATAACACGCATACTGCTTTTAAGTGTAAAGAACTCAGACATGTTCATAGTTCCTAAATGAAAGATAAAATAGATTGGCTTAATGATAGTTAATATCTGCCAGTGGGTGGTTTATTTCTTTCCAAAAACTTGGGCTTTCCCTGAGTTTAATAAAAATTTTAAAGATGAAGAAAATTATTATTCAAGTTCTGTGGCATTGAAAATGGTCATATGCCGCTCTCCGCAGCTGCACTTTATAGAGAAGACGTGGGTTGTTTTGTCATTAATTTTCTCAGTGGTGTTTTAAACATTTCAGTATTTTAGCAATCATTACCAAGTACTTGAACAGAATAGTAGGAATTATTGTTTAAAATGGGCATCAATCATGGGCACAATTTCTTTCTTTCTTTTTTTTTTTTTTTTTTTTTGAGACGGAGTTTCGCTCTTGTTACCCAGGCTGGAGTGCAATGGCGACCTCGGCTCACCGCAATCTCCGCCTCCTGGGTTCAGGCAATTCTCCTGCCTCAGCCTCCTGGGATTACAGGCCCGCGCCACCATGCCCAGCTAATTTTTTGTGTTTTTAGTAGAGACGGGGTTTCACCAAATTGACCAGGATGGTCTCGATCTCTTGACCTCGTGATCCACCCGCCTCGGCCTCCCAAAGTGCTGGGATTACAGGCTTGAGCCACCGCGCCCGGCTTTTTTTTTTTTTTTTTTTTTTCAATTTTACTTTAAGTTCCAGGATACATGTACCGAGCATGCAGGTTTGTTACATAAGTAAGCGTGTGCCACGGTGGCTTGCTGCGCCTATCAACACGTCACCTAGGCATTAAGACCCACATGCTTCAGCCGTTTGTAATCACCAACACATTTCCACATGAAAGGTGGAATAAAGGATTCTGGAAACACATTTCATGGAAAGTTGGAGGAAGAGAGAAACCAACGAGGGTATCACATCAAAGCCAAGCTTTGCCCTTGGGTACACAACTACAGCATAACTGAAATCCTGAAAGTGGAGTCCAATTTAAGTAAAGGGAGATCCACCAGGCTCTTCGAGCCCTGCCTTTCTCACTCTTGGACTCTTCATTTGTCATTAATTTTGCTAAAGTAGAATATGTCCTCAGATACTTTCCCCTCTGCCACTCACCCTCAATCAGTAATCAGGAAATAAATGGTCTGAGTCTCCGTTTATCAGAGTGACTTTTTTCACACACAAGACTACTTGGAGGAGAGCACAATTCTTGGTGCACAAAATTGCTTTTCCACTTAAAAATTCTGCAAACACAATTGTATTAAAAGACACTTTGGCACTCAGTGCTGCTGACGGAAATCCCAAAGCCTTCCTGATTTCTATTCCTTTGTAAGTAACCAGTTTGAGGGTTTTGCTTTGCTTTGTTTCATTTTGTGCCTCTGTGTATCCTTGCAGGATTCCTTTGTCTTCATACTTTGGTCAAACTTTTCACCAGAGTAATTTTACATCACAAAACGTGTTCTCTAAGTAGTCTAGCAAAAACTATTAAATAGTGTGCAAAGATAAGAGTATTCACAGCACCATTTTTAGTTGAGAAACAAAAAGAAAATATTTATTGAGTTGGATAAATTACAGTGCATCTATACAAAAACTCTCTTCAACAATTTCAAATGTTAACTAGAGCCTCATGTCCTAACAAGAAGAAACATCTACAATATATTGCTAAATAATAATTTTTAAAACCTAGGTGCAGAACGTTTACTGTGATAATCTTGTTCAAAAAATTGATGAATATTTGGAGCCAGTATATGCAGAATAAAGATCTGAAAGGCTTTTCAGCAAGCTACTAACACCTTTGCCGCTGGAGAACAGGAAATGAGAAGCCAAGAGCAGCTTTTACTATTTACATCATACCCTTCTGACATGTTGGAATCTTTTATAATTTTTATAATTAAAAATAAAAAATGCAACTGCATATCTCAGTAATTTTTTTGCTGCATTACTGACATTACTTGCAACTTAAAGAACCAATTTTAATATTTATACATCGATTTTTATAAGTAGGAATATTTTGCAAAGTGTTTTTTATTTGCCTCTTCTCTCTCTAGTAGAAACATTTATAATTCCTACGTTAAAGTTAGTATCTCAGACTTTTTAAGCAAACACATGCTCCCTCATCGTTTTCAACTCTGTCTTATACTTTCTAGGAGAGTTCTAAAATTTGTCCCTTATAACACAATTTGATTTTCTATATTCTCAATTAAGTTTTTCACTGCTTATTAATGCTAATGTAATTCTACTCTTGCACTTTTAGCTGCCTGTAAATTCTTCCTTATCTCATCCAGTTCTTATTCATGACATTTTGTTCTTTCTTTGAAACGTCTGTTCTATTTCCAACAGAAATCCAAGAGAGATGAGATGCAAGGTTTGTCCTTACATCTCAAGACTCCAAATAATTTCCTTAAAACAAAAATCTATTTCCTTCAACAGATGGGTGTCAAGGATTTGCTCTTGCTGTGAGCTTTCACAATAATTGTAGATGACTATTGCTCAGTGTTTCTCCACTGTGATTGTCGTCTTTGTTGAGGCTCATATTCTTGATGTTTTGTAGTTTTCTCATCCTCAAATAAAATAAAATGTATGAAAGCCTCGTGTTTGCCAGAGACATCAAGGATGAATGCTCCTTGACCCCACTTCTTTCTCTTCAAATCTTCTGTTTCAAGTTGTAATTGATAGGGGAGGGGGGCAAGGAAGTGCTGGGTAGAGAAGGGTGGGCTCCATTCTCAGGCCTGTGCCCACGAACCTAAGTGAGAACAGGCACTCCTGTTTTGGGGTCCAAATGTTGCATTTTCCAAGACCTCTCTGGCCCTCCAAGCCCCCCACTTTGTACCTATAAAACCCCTAAGTCCCTAACAGGCACACATACAGTGTGTGGATTTCAAGAGGAATACACCACCAGACACTTACAGGCCATCAACGGCGGGACGACATGGAATTTGGCCATGGACAATTGGAGGAGAGCCCAGCCACAGAGCAGCCTGATCCAGGGGAGACCATCTTCCCACTCCATGCCCCTTCTGGCTCCCCAACCATCTGCTGAGAGCTACTTCTACCACTCAATAAAACCTTGCAATCACTCTCCAGGCCAACATGTGATCTGATTTTTCCGGTCTACTAGGGCAAGAACCCTGGGATACAGAAAGCTGTATGTCCTTGTGATAAGGCAGAGTGTCGAACTGAGCTGATTAACCCAAGCCGCCTGCAGATATCAAAGTTGAAAGAGCACACTGTAACACACTGGGGTTTCTGGAGCTGTAAACACTCACCCCTAGATGCTGTCATGGGATTGGAGCCCACTATCCCCAAGACCTGCCCACCTGCATACTTGCCCTAGTGGTTTGAGCTGCAGGGCACCAAAGAATTGAGCCACTTCCCCATCACACACCCTGCTAGGGGGATAAGGGAGCTTTCCCATTTCATAACTGCCTATCAGCTGAATGCCCACAGCTCCTAGATCAGCTCCACTTTCCAGCAGGCTTTACTATCCATGGCTCTGATAGACTAAAATGCAATTCTGTCCAAGTTCTTCCTGGATTTCTGATAAGGTAGACAGTTAATGAATGGAAATAACCATCAACCAGTGATGCTATGCATCACTGCCACAAAGATTGCCTTCCTGCTCCTTCCTTCCAGCCCCTGCCCTGAGGTCTTTGGAGCAGGACCTTTTCTGAGGTAGGAAAATAAATAATGGAAGAGGAAAGAAACACAATTCTGCCTCTTATAAAATGGGGAAACCACACAGGACAAGGATGGCTGAAAGGGACCCTGATATGGTTTGCCTGTGTCCCCACCTAAATATGATCTTGCATTGTAGCTCCCATAATTCCCACATGTCCTGGGAGGGGCCCGGTGGGAGGTAATTGAATCATGGGTCAAGTCTTTCCTATTCTGTTCTTGTGACAGTGAATGAGTCTCATGAAATCTGACGGTTTTATAAAGGGAGTTCCCCTGTACACACTCTTTTGCCTGCCCCCATGTAAGATGTCCCTTTGCTCTTCCTTTGTCTTCCACCATGATTGTGATACCTCATCAGCATGTGGAACTGTGAGTCCATTACACCGCTTTTCTTTATAAATTAACCAGTCTCAGTATGTCATTATTAGCAGCATGAGAACAGACTAATATAGACCCAGTCAGGAGTTACTGTAACTGGCTACCCATGACTCTCTCAAACATGTTTCACATGGTTAGCATCATGTTTGAAATAAAATTAGGGCAATGCTAAAGAACAAATAAGAACACACAAATAAAATCCAAATTTCTAGCTTCTTCTGAACTATAAAAATATTTGGAAAGTCAGTGTCTGCTTCTTAGGAGATAACAATTGAGTGTCTTCATAGGCCATGTGCCCTCTCAACTTTGCCCCTGTGCCTTCCTGGTCAACACTCATTTTCATTACCATTACCTCAAACGTTTCCATTTTCAAAACCTGGCACAAACTTGAGTTTTCTATTGTATTAGTTTCCTGTGGTTGCCAACAAAAATATATCCTTTCACAGTTCTGGAGGTCAGTCCAAAATGAAAGTGTCAGCAGGGGCACGCTCACTCTGAGGTCTCTAGGACAGAGCCCTTCCTTGCCTCTTTGAGCTTCTGCTGACTCCTGGTGATCTTTGGCTTGTGGCTCCACCACTCCAGTCTCTGCCTCTGTCTTCATGTGGCCTGAACCATATTCTCTCTTTGAGTCAATGCATGTGACTTTCTCTCCCTTATAAAGAAACTGTCATTAGATTCAGGACCCAGCCTACCCAGTATGGTCTCATCTTGAACTTTAAGCCATTGTATCTGCAGATAAGCTATTTACAAAAAAAGGTGCATACTAAAGTTCTGGGTAGTCATCAGTTTTCATTAGAGAATCCATTTGGGTATACACAATTGAGGGGACACACCATCCAGGGGATCCTCATCCAGGAGATGCACAGCAAAAATAATAGCCCTTCTTACTTCTTGCCTGCAGAGCATTTCCTCAGTGACACACCCACGCCCCTAGAATGTTCTTTTCTTTTCAGTCTCATTGGCATTACTGTTGGCAAAAAGTGCTTCCAGACCCAGTCCTTAGGGGACTGTCAGTCCAAGTTTATGGCTGTGTTTTGAGTTTACATCTTCTTCTAAGCCTTTATAGGTATTTTACATCCCATTATGGAGAAGCTGTACCAGGGGCTGTTAGCAGACACCATTTCAAACCAGCAGTCAGTGAATCAACTTTATAAGCTGCAATTAGAAAACAAGGAAAGGGTAGAGCTTTTATTCCCTCCAAGTAATGTCCTTATTTCCTCCACATTCTTCCCACTCTTAACTCCTCTACCCAAAACTATCATTCACATTGGTGACTTTAGAGTGATATGGAAAGAAAGATGAGGTTGCCACGTTGAATACAGAGCAAGAGACTAGATAAGACTGAGTGAGGCATTGTAATACAGCTGCTAAGATCTTTTAATTCTAATTTCTGATGGCTTCCTTTGTTAATGTTGATTAAATAATGAAAATAATTCCAGGCTAGGGAAATGTTAGTAATCAGTACCACACAATAGCTATTGTCACTGATTTATATATTTAATGAAAAAATGAATTGCTGCATATTCATTATTGTATTATGGTTAATATACCATACCAAATGTGGAAGAATGAAAGTCTTTGAAAACAAGAAAAAATGTCTTATTTCTAGAAAGACTGGAGAAAAAAATGAAAGAAAAAATGACCATCTTAAAATTTCCAGAGCTCAGCTGTGGAAACTGAGGTCTAGATAGGCAAAATGGCTTTCCCTAAGTCATCCTGCTAATTTGCAATAAAACTGGAACTATAACCAGGAACTATAACCCTGCCTTCAAGATCACTGCTCCTGCTAGAAACAACACAGTTAAATTATTTTAAGCAAGTTCAGAACATAACATTTTCTATATTAATTCCATTTGCTCATATATTATGTTGCAGTTTCCAAGTGCTTTGGTAACATTTTTACAAAACACATTATGTCATTTGATTCTCACAATAATTCTCCAGTATGGGAACAGGAGGTATTACTGTTCCATCCTATAGGTAAGGAAATGAAAGATCAACATTTTAAATCTGAAATATTTGTTTAGTGAACAACATTCACCTACTCTGCAATAAATTCCCAAAGGCAAAAATGGCTCAGAGCCCTAAGGGTTGTACAGTTTGACGAAGGAGAAAGAATTGGCTGGTCAATATTGTTGCAATTGAGGCGGGTCCAAGGTCCTCAGGAAGTGAAGAAGTGGGTAATGGAAGAGCAGAAGTTAGAGAAGTACTTTTTAATGTATGAGCTAATACTAAGGAGAAGACATTTACCAGATGTCAAATAGAAGAAAAGATATTCAGCTAAAAATAGGACATTACAGTGGACAGAGGTCGGAGGAATACAATATGGCACCATCTTCCAGCGTGGCTTCTGGGCAGGGTGTGAGCTAGGAAGAGCCACAGAGATATTGAGAGCAGGTTATGGAGGGCCTTCTATGCTAGGGTCGAGTTTGAACTTTATCCACCCATCAAGCAGGTTGGTGAAGGTTTTTAAACAAGAGTGTGACATGACCACATTTGTGTTTCAGAGAAACAACTCTGTATAAAGCATGAAATAATGCCTTCAAATTCAAATAACTCCCAGACTCAGGCAGGTAACAAAAAAGGAAAGGTTCAAAACAATACCATGGAGGAGAGATTATGACAAACTGGACAAAAATTAGATGCCCAAGCTAAAAAAAGAAAACAAAGTGGCAATATTTACTCAGTTGTTGCTCGACGTGGACCAGTGAGGTTGGATCTTTTCGTGTTCTAAGATCAACAGAAAATATGGATTTTTATGTAAAATCATCTGATTTTTCCATTTTAAATCTTATTCCAAATAGTGTTTTGTGCAATAAGAAAATAAGAAAAATACATCTGTGGACTGCAAAAGAAGCCATCATTTTGTTACTGGACCGGTATATGGTACAAGAGTCAGGAGGCAGGGCGACCAGTTAGAAATCTGTTTCAAAAGTAGGAACCTAGAGCAGTGCCAGTGAAGACAGAAAAGAGGGGAGATAATTGTCAGCATACATAGCTGAGAGGAGACCCACAAGATGGTAGACGAGCAACACGACCAGGTGTTTGGACTCTGGTCTGTGATTTAGTCCTTGGTGTCATGTGGCTATGGATGTAGGCTTTACATTTTTTATTTTCAACACAGAAAGGGGTAGTGAAGAGTAGGTTTTGAAAAACCAGCTTCCAGTACCTTCCAAAGTTGACTTCCTCTGAGCCCTCCATGTCCAAACTGGCTCACAGTGTCTCCAGCTGGCATCCAGAGCCACACTGAGAAGGAAGATGAGTGCTCTCTTTTTCTCAGCTTCAGCCTCTGACGTGATCAGAGTCTGACATATTCACTTAATGTTCTCTGCCATAAAAAAAGAAATGGTTGGTCTCCTTTCCCTAACTATGCTGTCGCTCTGATTTAAGTACTTTCCACCTGTAAATGTCCTTGGTTACTCCTGAACCATATTCTCTCCTATAAAAGGCACTAAATTAAAGACTGCTTTGGTGCTGCGTTTTAGTGATTTTGAAAAGTGCTATGAGATAGCTCCTCCCTTCACGGAGCCAGTGAGGTTCACCTCAAATGTCACCTCCTTTCTTCAATTTGCTCTACGACTTTACCCATTTAAGACCCAGCTCACATGCCTTTTCTCATGATGCCTTTTCTTACCACACCAGCAATCCCTTGTCAAGGCCAGGGTGCCTTGACTGTGCCTGTCATCATCATCTGTTACCATTTAACTCCTCTCCACTCCTGAAAACCTTATAGGCTTATAGCAGCCACAGTGGTCTTCTTAAATAGAAATCTGATCTATCACTGCCCACTTATATTCTCCACTCTGTGGAGTCTGAATAAAATCTAACTCCTCTCAATGATTTACAAAGCCCTGGACTGTCTAGTCCTGCCTACATCTTCTGCTACTCTTTTCCTTTTTTGGTCACATTCAAATTATGCTGGACCTCAAAGGCACTCTCAGACGCCACTACGGAGTCTTTGCATTTGCTGTGCCCTCTACTTACAAAGTTCCACAAGGTTTTTCACAGAGCTGGATCCTTCTCATCCTCTGGTCTGAGGTTAAACATCATCAGAGAGACCATCTATCCATCTATCTCTGATCACATAAATCTCACTCTCGGAGATTATCCTCTCTTGGCAACTGGCTTACTTTCTCTATACTTAGAGTGGCTACAAAAAATGCTTCGCAGACCTCCAAATGCCGAAGTATAATTGTCTCAAGGCTCTTGCTGTTGCTCACTGTAATCCACCCATTCACATGCTCCAAAGCCATACTTCCCATGGAATGCTCCCATCCAATGGCTAAGGAGGGCAGGACCTAAGGGCAGTGTATTCCTGGAAAATATGGGATTCCTTAGACTGGCAACTTTGGCTTGGGGACTCAGAATTCTTCACTGAAACTTCCATGGACTGCACAGCTTTCTGAGACTTCTTCCACACAGCCTTCCTACTTTCCTTCCCTGCACCATGGAGTCAGACCAGCACTGAAGTCTGGTGGCCCCTCCAGGCTCCTTCAGTATCTTCTACATGCTCCCTCACCAACCTGTATCTTATTTCTGATTTCCCAGAACCCAAACTAGCACACTGGTACTCGTCCAAACCTCTGTGTATTTTTATTTGTTTATTAGGTCCCCCAGTAAAATTCTACCTATGAAAGAAAGGCTCTTATTAGACTCACTGATTGCCAAGTCCACTGCATCTAGCACCATTCTGGCATACACTAGGTGCTCACCAATATTTGTTCAATTAAGTTATCTTCTCCTAGAACCATAAGTCTATTGCCACATGGGCACATCCTGAAATTGTCTATATATACATTTTCATCTCTCACTAGATTTCAGAAATCCTTGAAAATATTCTACACAATGGGTTTTTGTCTCAGCATATAGCCCAGAGCCTGCAGCACAGTAATAGCTCAATTAATGCTCATTAAATTGACGTGCCCATTGCTCCTTCTTCACATCCTAACTCCCCACACACCCAGGTAACACAGGCTGTATCCTTACCTGTCTTCCATAATGTAGTCTGCTTTACCCCAGGCAGTTCCTCCTCCTGTGTCCTGTATCTCTGTAACTGTCTTCACCATTCTCCCAGTTTTCCATTTTTTTTTTCTCCATCACTAGCTTGCTACCTCCCCACAGAATTCAAGGCCATCCAATCACCAAGTCCTTTCTTTTCATCTTCTAACTATGTGCTCATTTAGTGTACTTTTCCCCCATTCTACTGCCCACTCTGGTCTAAGCTCCCCGTGGTTAATACAGAACATCCTCTTGACAGGTTCCTCTTCCTCTTTGTTTGCATCTCTCCTATATATTTCCCACCCAGCAGCCACAGGCCCTTTCTAAAAGGCAAATCTGATCAGGTCACACACTGCTGAAAGACCTTCAAATCTCAGTGGTCTGTTGAGGCCTTTCAGGGCCTGAACAAATCCACCCACTCCTGCCTCGTGCCCATCCTCAGAGCACACACATCTCTCCTTATCTTCCAGTCAAACAGAGCAGTCTGCAATCACCAAACCTACTCTGTCTTTCCTGAAGAATTGTCTTCCTCTCACTCACCCCCTCCTTTATCATGCTAATTCCTGTGGATGTCATTTTTTCCAAGAAGTCTTCTGTAGGCAGGTCCAATCTAGATAAAGCGGCTTTTGTTTGAATTCCTACAGGAACCCAAACTACTTCCCTTATGGTACTTATTACTGGTTTGTCTAGTTGTCTAACCCCCAATGTGTTACCTTCATTTCTAAAACAAAGCTTTTATAAGTCATCTCATTGCATCCAGTGCTTTAAAATTTTCCCTTTTTTCTGCAAATACAGGTGTGCCCAGCCCCCTTGCAAGGTTAATCCCTCCACACCCGTAAGATCTTACCTCTCCCAGCTGTAAGTAGAGTCTCATCCATGTGCTGCCTCAACTATCCTTCCTGCTCTTCCTTCTGGTCAATTCAGCTCCATCCTCAACTTCCCATTTTTCGTGTTCTCTCTTCCATGAAGCTTTCAGCTGTCTTTATCTCTTCTGTTTAAAATTCTTCACCTATTTGCCCCTTATGGCCCCAAGTTATCTGTTCACATTTCTATCCTTTACTTCATCACATTTTTTGGTGTATAATTTTCTGTCTGCCACTGGTCTATAAACTTTTCAAGGCTAGAGACAAGGTCTCATTGAGCTTTTATTTTTGTCAGTGTCTGCTATACACAGAAAAGGTGTTCAGTACATATTCATTGAATGAACAAATGAATAAACAACTTCATCCATTCTTCAGGGCTCCGCAATTTTTACCTCTCCAATTATTCTCCCTCTTGTGAACTACAATAGATCAGATTGCCTTATTTTCTGAGCTCTATACAGACAGCACTATGCAATCTTTCTTATTAGCTTCTAAGCATCCAAAGAGCAGGAACAAAACCTCACAGCCTCCCTGTCTCTACCACCATGCCTTGCACAATATTCTTTTGCTGATTGATTGTTACTGCTCAATCTACTATTCATTTTTGATTTCTTTAAAAAGAAAACCTTCTCAGAAATCAAACAACTAAAATCACAAAATGTCCTTTTCTAAAAATAACACATTTCCAAAACACTTGAGGCAGAGCTGTGCTTTTTCTCCTTTCCCATTAATGAGAGAAAGATGCTGCTTTCTCCGTTTTCATCTTGTCTGCATCATGTCTGTGTTGCCTGGAGATTTGTGGCTGTTGTTTCAAGAAAGATCAAATGACAATGGGAGACAGACAGTCTTCTTGATTAAAAAGTGGTACTCAGATACATCAGCTTCCTCCACATTCAAGAAGAAGCTTGTTTCACAGCTAGTGCCTGCTTCAGAGGCACACCTCCCTGGGGTCAGCTGAAGCTTGCCATCCTCTTTCCAGATCTGCTCATGCAAGACCTGCACTGTATTGACATGTAAAGTAAAATTTAAGCCTCAAGAGAGGGGTTAGATATTGCCACTGATTGACTCGGGAACATCCTTTGAGAGACACTGAAAGAACTGACATAGCGTGGTTAGACCAACCTGCATTCAAGTCCCAGTCCTGAAAGTGACTAACTGTGTGACTGGGAAAGTTCCTCAGCCTCTCTAAGCTTCAATGTCATCATTTGGACAATAGACATAATGAAAACACACCTGTTGGAGTTGCCAATGTGATGGGATGAGATGATACAAAGTGTTCAGCATCACGTGTCACTGAGTGTTTATTAATGGTCATCAGTATCATGAAGTAGCCAGAACCACACCTGTCGTAACAGTTGACCATCGTTGAACAGCTACTCTGTGCTGTGTACTAGGCTCATTTTTCCTATATCAATTTTCTTATTTATACATCATAACAGCTTTTCAAGCAGGTATTATCAGCTAGTGACTCTGAGGATAATTGGCTGCATTTCCTACCCCTGTGCTCAGCCTATGCATGGGAAATATTGGGACTTGGTAAATACATTTTGGAATAATTTTGAATGAGCTCACAACTGGCATAGTTATCTAGGGCATGCTAAACCATAGGCTGCTTCCCCTATCTAGCATAGAGTGCAATGTTATGCTTAGAATTATGCCCCCCAAAGAGTTAATTATGTTCAACCCTTAATACACAGTACCTGTGAATGTGACCTTCTTTGGATATAGGGTCTCTGCAGATGTAATAAAGTTAAGAGGTGGCAATGCTAGATTAGGGTAGCCCCTAATCCAATAGCAGGTGTCCTAACAAGAAGACGAACATTTGGACACAAGTGAACAGAGACACATGGAGGGAACTCCACATGGTGATGGAGGCGAGACTGAAGTAGCACATCCAGGAGATGCCAAGGGTAGCTGGCAGCCACCAGAAGCCAGAGGGAGGGATGGAGGGACCCTTCTTTAGAGTTTCTGGAGGGAGCATGGTCCTACTGATACTTTGATTTGGGACTTCTGGCCTTCATAACTGTAACAGAGTACATTTCTGTTTTTTTAATCACTCAGTTTATGATAATTTGTTAAGGAAGCTCTAGAAAACAAATACAGCACTATTCCTTTCTCAGCACAGCAAAATGGAATTTCAAGGCACTCACAGAGAGGGTTTACCACCCCTTGTTCTCTTTCCAAAGAGCAAAAAAAGTACTACTCCCAGTTCTCTGTCTGAAGATGAGACTTTTCAGTCATCCCAACAGTTCCGGGTTTCAGAACTTAAGGGCACATTACGGAGACATTGCTGGTAAGTTAGCTAAAGCTCTGTAGCCCCACAGGGCTTCTGTTCCAAGCAATAGATGAGAGAAAAGAGAGGCAGAAAGTATGAGTACACTTCAATCCCCTCATGGGAATGTAGAACACTAAGCAGCAGCTTTCTCCCTAAATATTTCTGTAAAAAATGCATATTTTATAACATCATCAGTTAATCTCATGTGCTTTCCAGAAGGGAAAAGCATCACATGTAAGTGTTAGAGAGTTTCAGCCCCCTTCCTCTCCACCAAAAAGAGGACTGTTCTCAGGGGCATGCCTTCTAAGGATCCTGTCCCTCTGGACTAGAAGCCTCATGATAGAGGAACAGCCCCTTTTTGTCCTTAAAAGATCTGCGATGGAGGGTTGGAGACAGAAAGGGTCCTCCCAGGAAAGGTTTTCTGCTCCATCCTCTTTCTCCTAAATTCTTTGAAGACAGAGGGTGAAGCTTTCCCATCAGTTAACATTCATCAAGGGTCAAATCCTCCAAACAGCCCACATAATGACTAGGTATGTCACTAATCAAGCCAGATGCACTGCTCAAAAACCCACAGGCTTAAAAATGCTTTCAGCTTAACAGGACAAGGTAAAATGAGCGCAGAGCATTTTTCGAACTACCCAGTTCTGGGACAATTGCTCCCAATCAGCCTCACTTCTTGCAATCTCTTTGGACCCAGCACTGACCTTGGGTCTCTGATGAACTATTTGCTGACTCTCTACACAGCCTGGTATGTATGTTTTCTTCCCAACAGGGCTATTTGAAAGCCCCCATTTAGCCCAGGTTCCAAAATTCTCTCTGATTAGCTCTTGGCCCTCATCCTACTGAGCATGAGATCTGCTGAATGGAATGGATGCTGTACCCATCCTGACTCTGGCAACAGGAGCTTCTGTTTTGCCTGAAGAAGGAAAAAGTATCAAGAGAGTAATCTGGATTCTCCAAAGGTTCAACTTGGGTGAAGTCTTCAACCAGTCATGCAAATAGTGAGGCTCAAGGAGCTGCTCAGAAACAATGTTCTCTTTCATTGCATCATTTATATTTTAAGGGCAATATGAGCCTCTAACAGTTTAATCGATGGGGCCATACTCTAGAGAAATTTTTATATTATCTTGGCTAAACTGTTGGTAATGGTTAGAAGAAGAAGGAATAAAGAAATGAAAAGACAGGAAAAAAAGTAGTGGGGGGAATGAGTGGAACTGTAGGAGCAGCAGCTCTTGCAAATCAGATTTGGGAAAGAGCAAGGAACTACATTTCTACCTTGGAAGAGGGACACTGACATATCAGTAGGTGGTCAGGTGGTGGCCAGTTCAAATATTCTGAAGTGTTCTGATGAGAGTTTAATAAGGACCACCTCACACATGCACATGCATGCACACACAAATACACAAACACACGTTTCCCTAACTCAAGCATGCAGTTAGGGAATCTCTGGAGTCCAGTGGATGAGTCAGCCTAAATGACTCAGCAAGGAGGAACCAGCACTGAGGTTGGTGGAAGCACAGCTGGAGCAAATGCAGATAGAACTGTGAAGACATTGTGTGAAGGCGAGGGAGGGTGTGGCTGGAGTTACCCAGTAGTGACCAACATCCTATTACCATAACAACAGCATCAATTCCCAGGAGGAGCCTGGGGCAGGTCATTTCTGCACCCAAGTCAGTTTATCTCCCAAATGGGCTGATAATGGCAACTTTCCTGCCTACTGACAGGACTCCTGGAAAGGTTATATGAGACAATCGTTGCTAAGGAGCTTAGAAAAGTCCCAATTTCAAACATGTGGAAAGGATTATGGCATTCTCATGACAAGTTCGCCACCACCTACTGAAGGCACAATGCCTGCGTATGGGAGAAAATGGGACATCAAAAATTTGAGGTGTAGGCTGGGTGAATCAAGGTATTTGCAGAGTGAATGACTGCAAGATCAGGACACCTTGTTGTGCAATGTCAGGTGAAAATATATTTGGTGAAATCGAGTGGAATTTCCCTCGAATCTTGGGATTATAAGACAGAAGAGCAGACTGAAAGCTGAGTCACAGCAGGGTGAGTGAAACAGCCCTCAAAGAAGAAATCAGCATAACTGGATTCTCATCCCCAGCATGGCAAAGCCTGTGCCATCAGCTGCCTCTGCGTCTGTTTGCTCACTTGTAAAAGTGTCATCTCATAATCTTTTCTGCCAGTAATACTTTGTGTGTGTGTTTATGTGTGTGTGCACACACGTTTGCATGCAAGGCCCTGATTTATGCTTGTGCAATGCTTTGAAAAACTTAAGCTTCCATTCTACCACATATACTTTGACATCCATTCAGTCCTCCAATCTCTGCAACTCCACACTGTACTCAAAGAGTTGAGAAGCACAGAGACACCATCCTGATTTGCCAAGGCTGGGCAGGGTACCCCTTCCCCCAGACTCCACCTTTATGGGCTGTGTAAACTTGGGCAAGTTACCACTCTGGGTTTCATGTACTTTATTTATAAAACAAAGAGAATAACTGTGCCTATGATCTACAGACTTGGAATAAGAACCCAATAAGATACTTCCTATAAATCACTTAGCACAATGCCTGAGTCTTTAAAAAGATTTTTGAAAGTCTTTAAAAAGAGGTACAGTCGCTCATGTCTGTAATCCCAGCACTTTGGGAGGCCAAGACAGGCGGATCACCTGGGGTCAAGAGTTCAAGACCAGCCTGACTGATATGGTGAAACCCCGTCCCTACTAAAAATACAAAATTAGCCGGGCACGGTGGCAGGAGCCTGTAATCCCAGCTACTTGGGAGACTGAGACAGGAGAATCGCTTGAACTTGGTAGGCAGAGGTTACAGTGAGCTGAGATCACACCATTGCACTCCAGCCTAGAAAACAAAGAACAAAACTTTGTCTCAAAAAAAATAACTAAAACAACGTTCTCCCAGTAATAAACATGATCACTACTGCTATTAGAGTTGCTGCTATTACTGTCATAGTATTTTATATTCCCATATCGGAACATATCCCTACAAATTGCAGCTGTGAGTTTATTCAAATGAAGAAATCCATGAAGGCAAGGATTGGGCCTGTCTCATTCTTTACTTGAACCCTTGTCCTCTTCTGAATACCTGGCTGACAGCAGGTTTTTAATATTTGTCCCGTTAGATGAATGAAGGATTTTAAGAAGTGGTTCTCAACCCTGGCTGCACATTAAGAGTCATCTGGGTACATTTTAAAATCCTGATGTCCACCCCGACCCAGAAATTCTGATTTAATTGATAAAGATTAAGACCCTGGCATTAGTAGTTTTTAAAGGGTTCCCAGGGTCTCTAGTAGGCAGGAGGAGGTGAGGCTCATTTGTATAGAGTCTCAAAGATCAGCCACACCATTGATTTCCAAACTTTTCCTTTTATAATAAAACGATTTTTTTCCACAACAGTCTTAGATTGAAATCTACTTCGTAAAAGAGAATGAAGCAGCATCCTCTGGTAGAAGTGTTGGAGGTAGGCCCTGGGGCTCTCCATCCAACCGTGTGGGTCCAAGGTGGTCCGCAATGCCCACAAGCCCCGAGACACAGCTTCCTAGGATTAGAACTGTACTCTCCTGAGCTCTAAGCAGCATCTTCTCAGTGCACTGCACTGCCAGCCTTGCTGACTCCTCATGCAGCACAATGCCATCCTCACCCTGAAACTTGGACTAAGACAGACTGCAACTGTTTTCCTTTTACAGCCAAATGCAGACACTCTCAGCTCCCAGTGAAAATCATTCCCAGGCCTTGTGGATCGAGGAGAGAAAATAACGCCTAAAATATATAAATAATTCAAAGCTGAGTTTATTCATGATGCTGTGTTTTCTCCAGGCAGCAGTTTGTATAATCTCTCTCACACTGCCAGTTGGGCAGCCTCTGTAGCATTTATTACTGCAGACAAGCCGTTAGAAGCTGTTTTGATTTATACATCTACATTCTATTATAGAGGTAACTTCAACAGCACACTGCAGTTTCTGCTGCTGACATTGTAGGAGGGGAAAGAAAAAGAAAAAAAAAGACGGTGGAGAAAAGAATAGCAAATTATTTCTGCATTCCAGAGGATAGCAAGAAAAATGGGCCTACATACTTTAATGACATATTTAATTTGTTATCTGGATCACACACACACGCTACACTCACTTGCAACAACCTACGTGTGTCACATCATTATGTCTTCATAAGAGAGCCAATGTTTATTGAACATCTACTAAGTGCCAACTTACCCTGTTAGGTCAGGAGAATATATTGGTGAATAAACAAGACAGTTGATGGTCTCATTTGTTATTATTGTTTGCTATCACCTAACAATGTCTCCCCAACAATCCTTAGCACAGGGTTAATACACGGTATCATCCTTGATGTCCGTTGAGTGAATGAGTGAATTCAAAATTACAAATAAGATGAAGTTATATTGCAATCGTTCAGTTACCTATCTTCACAGCAACACATAAAACCTCATGCAACAATAAGCCTTTACTGTTCATGCATGGAAGATGTTAGGCTGGTTGGCTCTGCTCATCTGTGCTCATCACCCAAATAGCTTGGAAATGGTTTGCAGTTCACCGATTGGTTCAGGCTTCTTCTGGATCCTGTGGGAATGACTCAGCTCTGCTCAGGTGTTTCTCATCCTTCAGCAGGCTACAGCCCAGCATGTTCTGATGGCCATGACAGAGAGACAGAGAGTAAGTATAATGGAAACACATGGCTTCTTGAAGTCTAGAGTTGGAACTGGGAATCATTACTTCTGATACACTTGATGAAACAAGTCACAGAGCTAGCCCAGATTCAAGATGTGGGTAAGAGTCCATCTTTAGCATGGAGGTCTGCCAAGAGACAAGGCTAAAGCAATTAAGAATTGAAACCACCTTTGCAATCTGCCACAGGAACTCAGCAAATTAGAGAAAAGGCAGCGATGGAAACCCACCTCTCAAATGAAGTCTATTGCCTATTCCAGTATCCAAGTGTGTTTCCACCCGGGCCCTGAACAAGGCTCTTCAGTGAGTTTAGGGAGGATGATAGTTCATTGTTTCCTGAATGTCCTTCCCTCTTTGACCTTAGGTCTTCACCCAGGCTGTACCTGGGGTTGACAGCTGACTGTGATCTATTCACCTTGCCTGCCCTAGTTTTTCCTGCTCCATTTTAACCCATCACATTAGGAGACATAATGTGTTTACAGTACAATGACGAGACAGAATTGTAGCTACCATACATTGGGAGTTCTCCGTATGTCAAGGCCTGTGCTGAAGAACTTTGCTTACATTATCTCATTTAATTCTTATAATGACTCTATGAGTTAGCTGTAATTGTCCTTCATTTTACCACCAAAAGAATATTCACAATACTGAAAGAGATTAAGTAACTTGTCCAAGGTTTCACAGCTAGTTATTAATCAAGCCAGCTTTCAACCCTAATTTGTTTGAATCCAAAGTCCATGTTCTTAATCACTATGCCACATTCCCCCTTCCTTAAACCGAGGAGGTCTACTTCACTAAACCATTATGCTCACATTGGTAAAGAATTACGATTATGATATTCTTTTCTCTCTTTTTTTTTTTAATGAGACAGAGTTTTATTCTGTTGCCAAGTTGCAATGTAGCAGCGCAATCTTGGCTCATTGCAACACCCACCTCCTGGGTTCAAGCGATCTTCCTGCCTCAGTCTCCTGAGTAGCTGGGACTACAGGTGCATACAACCACACCCAGATGATTTTTGCACTTTGAGTAGAGATGGGGTTTCACCATGTTGGCCAGGATGGTCTCGATTTCCTGACCTCATGATCTGCCCGGCTTGACCTCCAAAGTATGAGCCACCGAAAAATTACCACTTTCTTAAAGCAAAGAAATGATGATATTCTGCCTGGTTCCCTTTTATGAGACAATGGAATAAAAGGATTGAAGTTTCCACAACGTTTTGAATTATTTCCACCTAGACATAAGAGGCTGTAGGGTGGGAAGGCAGGTCATTAAGTTTTCAGTCTTGTGTAATTTCTACCAACTCCCAACATAATATCCTAGGCTTGTTAGAGTTAGTACCAATGAGATCATAGATCATAGATTCCACCAAGAGGAAGAGGGATTATACAAAGACTTATTGGTGTCTATTGGTATAACATGCACTATGTTAAATCCAACTGGCCCAAAAAGAAATGGAATCTATGATCTCATTTGCATACTACCTCTCTTTGCATAGGCCCAAGTCAGGAGGAGGCTGGTTCTGGATGAAAGAGAAGTACGAGAATTCCACCCCCACTATTGCAAAAGCTTGGAGTTCCTAGAGCAGCACCTTAATGTGGACAAATGGGAAAATGTAACCCAGTGGAATAAAGGGCAGATTATTCCAAAGCCAAGCCAAGGGCATTGAATTTCTCACGGACTGTCAATTCAATCCCCAGCATCTACGAGATGGTGTCCAGCCTTCCTCTTCACCTCCACTTGACATTTACGCCCAACGAACAATGGTCAAGAAAACCTCTCGCTTAGTTTACAGGTTTTCAGTTTGTGACAGTTCCCCTGTGATCCCTGATCAAAGCTGGATTCAAGAGCATGGCTTAAGTTTAAAATCCTGAGAGAAGCAATCTCAAGCATGCTGGAGAAGAAAGCTATATAACCAGTCAACAGCAAGATTTAGCGCACTGAGCCAGAAAACTGTACAGGTGAGAATGACAAACTGGCTTCACCCCACTCACGAGGGAGTTCAGTAGGCACTGACTTACCCTGGGGATGGATGGAATCCTCAGTAGAAAATGCTGACTAAGTCAGAGAAAAAGATGAAAGAGAGTCATGTTCAAGCACAAGGAAAAGTGGAGATTGGAATGCTGCCTTTCAAGTGCAGTGAACTCATTCTCCAGTAAACATGTTCCAGAGAGCGCTAAGCCTGGACCAGTCAGACTGGCAATCCCTCCCTCCCTCCCAGAGACAGAGTGAGTGAGTGGGTAGGAAGAGGAACATACTCTGTCCTTAGCATCCCTCCATTGATGAGGATGGCAGAAGTCACCTCAACCTTGAAAAGATGCTATACTATGAAGAAGTGGACATTGGCATGGCTTCTTTCAGCAAAACCAAGGAAAGCGTTGCTAATCCTGAAGACTACAAAAAACCAGCCAGGTGTATGAGAAAGCAGACAGGAGGAAGCTAATAGGATTGAGGGGCAGCCTGTTCATTGCAGCTTTTGCCTCCCGGGAAGCCAACCTGTATTTCAGGCACAGCTGTAAAGTGTGGGGCCAAAGTTGAGTTCATGAGAGAATTCAGAGGCATAGTCAGAGGAGCAGATGAGGCAGTAGGGGTCTGCAGATGAGGCAGTAGCTGAAGTGTGAGCCAAATGGGAGCCAGAGGACCAGAAAGAGGAGGGAGGAGATCACCAGAGAGGACAAAAGGGAGGTGGTGGGGACTCACTCAACATAGGACATCTTCCCTTGCAGGTGGATTTCTACCTCCCCCAGAGAGCTCTGGCCAGCGTGGAATGGACAGTGTCCAAAGAATGCTCAATGAACTCCTCATTTTGATTTCTTTGTTCTATAAAGGCGTGTGCAACTGCATTAGTATGCTCAGCAAAAGGCCCTTTTGTTGTGCCAGGTGCTGCAGGAATTCAGAACAGCTGATGTTTCATAAAATCATGAGCTTGCAGAGAGCCCTGGGAGGTCAGAAAACCCAAGCCCCTGCCTCTCACATCTGTTCTATCCGTGGAATGGTGCTGCAGTTTTAAAATCATGTTTATTGTACTTCATCTTCTTATTTTAAGAGAGATACACTGGGTGCACTTTTATTGTAGAAAAGGTGAAGCAAGCAGTAAAGCACAGAGAAGAAGGGAAAAACAGTTTCTAATCTTATAACCCAATGACAGCCACTGTTAATATTTCAGCAAAGCCCCTGCTACACTTTCTCTCTCTCACCCCTGGGGTATGTGTGTGTGTGTGGAGGGGGGTGTGTGTCTGTGTGTGTGTATTGTAAGTATATAGAAAAGAAAATGGGAATTTTCCTGTTATTCCAGCATTAACAAATAAAACTGTGAACAAAGAGGCATTAAGTGCCACACATTCTAAATAAAGCCAAACACCTTCCTTGAGTCTTTCCATGAGGGTAGGATCCAGCAATCCTACTTCTGCATATATATTTAAAGAAATCAAAATCAGTATCTTGAAAAGATTTCTGTACTTCCATGTTCATTGCAGCGTTATTCATAGTAGCTGAGATATGGAAACCGTATGTCCACTGAGGGATGAATGGATAAAGAAATTGTGGTATATATATGTGATGGAATATTTCTTAGCCTTAATAAAGAAGGAAATTCTACCATCTGTGACAGCACGTATGGAACTGTGGGAGATTATGCTATGTGATATAAGTCAGGCACAGAAAGACAAATAATGCATGATCTCACTTATACATGGAATTTAAAATAGCCAAACTCATAGAAGCAGAGAGTAGAATGATGTTGCCAGGGGCTGTTGTGGGAACAGGCGGGAATGGGGAGATGTTGGTCAAAGGGGCAAAGGTTTTGTTATTTGGGATAAGTAAGTTCTGGAGATCAAATATAAAGCATAGTACCTATAGCTATAAACGCAATATTATATTTTTTAAATTTTCTAAGAGTGTAGGCTTACTTTAGGTGTTCTACCACCAAAAAAATATTATTATTATAGTAAAAGAAAAAGAAACTTTGAGAGGTGATAGATACATCAGTCTATGACCTAGATGGTGGTGATGATTTCACAGCTGTGTATGTATCCTCAAACTCATCAAGTTGCATAAATTAAATATGTACAGCTTTTTACATGTCAATCATACCTCAATAAAGTGGCTTTGAAAAAGAGGTGGCTGAACCTCGCTGTTACCTGCAACCCTCATTCAGCAACACACCAACCACCACCATGCATTCTGTAACAGTAGACTGGAGAAAGGGGCCATCTATGACTGCTGGGTGGAAATGCTGGGCTAGAGCACATCTGAGAGCTATACAGAGGGTCTTCCCAAATCATAACTCAAAATGGTTGGGAACACTTTCAAGGGAATGCAGGCATTCTCACTGAGCATCTGATTAGAACCTAGCCTCATTGATTTCCTCTGTTCCCACTTAAGTAGTAAACTAGAGCCTCATTGAGAGAGCAGGGCAGAGAGAGGGCGTCCATGGAGCAGCCTGTTCCTTTAGCTGTCATGGCAGAGAGGCACCCACTTTCTGGAGGTCAAGTGGACACTGAAGAAGAGACTCACACCAGTATGTGGACTGGCAAGGAAGAGGAACCAAGCAGCAGGAGGCTGTGAATGATCCCCAGGGAGGCATCTGAGGGAGGGTTGGGATCTGGAGTTAGATCTTCTGCAGTTGGGAGGGAGCTGAGCAAGATGACCATGCACTGACCAGGAGGGAGCCACAGAGATGGTAACCTACCAGAGAGGGCCATAAAGTCCTTCAGTGTGAGCCAGAGAAACAAATCCACTAACAAAGTGCACTGTGCCTGCCGTGAGTTAAATAAGCAATGCCCGACCTTGACCTCTTTCTCCTCCACTCACCCACACACACTACAGCACCTATCTCTATATGAGGGGGTGAGAAGGACCATTCCCAGAGAAAGGATACAGGAGGAAGGGTAAAGAGAAGATGGGACCCCTCCCACCCACCTCCCCCAAGCTGCAAGCTCAGATAGCACTGGAGTGAGAGGAAAAGATGAACTAGTTTCTTAAGACAGAAGAACTTGTGCAACCAAGGGGAATGGGAAATTTCGAAATCTGCTACACTATGAGTGAGAGATTTAATACAGTATTATTAGGAACCACAACTAGAGGAAAAATCCTTTGATGTTTGCAGCTCAGCAAGTTTATATGCTTCAATAAACCCAAAATACACACATATCACACACACACACACACACACACACATACACACACACCTGCATATACATAGACAATATTTAAAATCCAGTCAAAGTAAAATATAGCCAAAAGCTACTTTATTTTTTCATACCCTGCCTTCCTTTCTTGATCTTGTGATCCTCCCTTCTGTGAAATTGAATAATTTAAACTTAAACCTGGTGGAACTTTATATTATTTTGAGCCTTGAGAGGAATGTGGCTATGTGGCCTGGGTCATGTAGCATACAGCTGCAACTTCTGCTTCTCCAATTATAGATTCACTCCCTTACTTATTCTTGCACTATAGAAGATTAGGAAAGACCAAAAGGCATGAGAGATAGGACCCCCAGGAATCTATTACCCTTCCTTATGGAATGTTAAACAATCTACCTTGGAATGTAGGAACCTGTAAGCAATGAAATCGCTATAAAGTATGTATTGGTCTTATAAGAAAAAGAGTGTGACTCTGTTAAGTTTCTCCATCTCTGCCTATGTAAGTGAAAGCCTTAATTATCTACTTGGGAACACTGACCAATTCCTTTGGAATCTGTTTCCTGGGTTGTGAGCCTCAAGTTTTGCACTTGAATAAGTTCTGTACTTAATAATATTTTCTGAATCTCATAATTTAAGGGTGACACTTCTCAGCACTTGCATGAAATCTCATGCAATTTCCATCATTTCTCTATTCACTTTCACATATAACAAAGTTCATACTATCTCTCATCCAACTTAACTCTCTTCTCTACTTCATAGCACATATGTGCCTTAGGCTGGGAACCTGAGCAAGAAAGGATATCGTGGTTTCAAGGCAGATTTCTTCATTCTCACTTGCTTTCTCAATCCACATTGTCCCTCACTTTCTAACTGTTGTTTAGAACTCTCTAAAAACATTAGAGGGCATGGTGTCTTTGTAACATGTCAGCTTAGCTAAGCAGGAACTCAGTTCCTAGAGTTTCATCTCCATTGAGGTTCCAGGTTGAAGAAGCTATAAGAAAAATGTACACAAGATATAAAAGACCATAGTGAAGAAGCAGGATGCTCAGTATCTTTCAGTTTGGTGTAGGGAACCAGATACTAGCAGTTCATGCATATGGCGCTCACTGATTTGCCAGCTTATGATCCTGGCACAGGGCAGCACATAGGCTTACAGGTCCTAGACTGCATTGCTGGGTGGGGCAGGACCTGGGCTCGCAGCTCCTGGGCTATGTTGTTATTTTGGGGCAGGTCCTGAGCTTGGAGCTCTACCAGTTCTCCCTGGATCTCTTCCTTCAGCTTATTCAAGCCCACAGCCAGGTGAATGTGCATCTACATGTGAAAAGTACCTGCTTTCCCATTATTATTAAGGTTGGAGGCAGTGGGTGAGAGACACACAAATGCTTCAGCTTGTTTTTTCTGGAATCCAGTATCTCTCATGGTGTGCCCTTGTTCTCCCAACTCAGCTGTCCATCTCCCCTCTCAGCTGCTGTCTTGGGTGACCTATTGTGACTTCAGGCTCAACATCAGACACAGACCATCAGCCCTGCATGACATCCTCACCAGCTCCCATAACAGTGTAATATCTAATTTCTTTTTTTTTTTTAATTTTTTATTGCATTTTAGGTTTTGGGGTACATGTGCAGAACATGCAAGACAGTTGCATAGGTACACACATGGCAGTGTATTTTGCTTCCTTTCTCCCCTTCACCCACATTTGGCATTTCTCCCCAGGCTATCCCTCCCCATCTCCCCCTCCCACTGGCCCTCCCCTTTCCCCCCCAATAGACCCCAGTGTTTAGTACTCCCCTCACTGTGTCCATGTGTTCTCATTTTTCATCACTCGCCTATGAGCGAGAATATGCGGTGTTTCATTTTCTGTTCTTGTGTCAGTTTGCTGAGAATGATGTTCTCCAGATTCATCCATGTCCCTACGAACGACACAAACTCATCATTTCTGATTGCTGCATAATATTCCATGGTGTATATGTGCCACATTTTCCCAATCCAGTCTATCATCAATGGGCATTTGGGTTGATTCCAGGTCTTTGCTATTGTAAACAGTGCTGCAATGAACATTCGTGTGCATGTGTCCTTATAGTAGAATGATTTATAGTCCTTTGGATATATACCCAGTAATGGGATTGCTGGGTCAAATGGAATTTCTATTTCTAAGGCCTTGAGGAATCGCCACACTGTCTTGGTTCTGCTTCTCTGATTGAGCCCTAATTGATACTCAGTTATAAAGAGCATCCAATAGAAATACTCTTTATATATACTTCTTGACAAAGAAGAACCAATTCCTGCTGCTTCAGTGCTTGCAGTAGCTGGTCATGCACAACAGTCTTTCAGTCCTTGCCCTTCCTTTCTACTTACACATTATCTCATTTTGTTACTTCATCTCTCCAGATAGTATCCTCTCAGAAAACTTTTACACTGCAGCCCATGACTAGCTCCCTTCCATAAAGTTCAATCCTGGCTTACCAGGATCACACATTAATCTTAGACCAATTAAATCTACAACTATAATAACTTCTCAACATCGTCCTCTATAAACATTTTCAATCCAAGATAAGGTACTGGTGCTATGTTCCCCAAATACCAAGAGAAGCATATTAAGTTCTCTAGTTAGTTTTCTTTGGCAAATTGTCATTTAGTAAATACATCTTCCCCACATGGTAGAGTTTATTTCTCCAGTCTCACTGATGTAGAGCAAGCAATATGACTTGTTTTGGCCAATGAATTATGGAAAGAAGCAACATCGTGCCGATTCTAGATGAAGATCTTAAGAGCCACTACATCTTTCAGCTAATTCTTGTATTTTTGCAACCACTATAAAATCATGTCCTGGGCAATTGCTGGTTCCAGAAAAACAAGATAAAAGGCACAGATGGAAACCCAATCTGCCGCTACAAACAAGCCTGACCAAACCATAGTCTGAACTAGAGCTGCCAAGAAGAGCTCAGCTTGGATCTTCCAAACTGCAACCTGCCTGCAACTTTATGAAAATAAATGTTTATTTTAATAACAATAAGATTAGAAGATTATTTGTTACACAGCATTACTGTGGCGATAGTTGACTGGTACACTTTGCTTATACTGTAATGAGAAGGAAGTATTTGCCTCTAGTAATTCTCCCCAGAGCATTTTCCCAGATATCCAATGTCCTATCAATTCTCAGCACCTTTATATGGAGGTGGATGATGAGCTGATGCTGAGAGAACCAGCTCTGTGATATCTCCTTTACAAGTGCTTAATTGGTGGCTTAGCACACCGTTTTAGAAACTGAGAGAATTTGGGAACTTATTGTTTAGTTTGGGCACTGGAGTCAAAGCTGAGATGACAGAATAAGTCATGGTTACTATTCTCCTTCACACATACAAAATTTGGAACATACCATATAGATAGATAGATAGATCTGCAGCCTGACTTCTTTCACTTAAATATAGATTTTAACATATTTCCATGACACTCAATTTTCTTTTATGTCTTCAATTTTCTCTTTCTTTGAAAAACTATTAGAGAATGAATGAGAATATCAAGTGGAGTAAGAAGAATGGCAGAATTCTGCAATTGGGCCCTTCCCACTTGCACCTGTAGGGTGTTCCCTGGGCATTCCGAGTGCTTATGTAAACTGAGATAACCTCAGTGTTACCCAATTGTAACTGAGATTCTCTCTGTTGCCACAAGCACTCAGAATACCCAGGGAAATATGAGGCCGTGCCATTGTTTTGTGTCTTAACTTGGTTAAGACTAGGTACAAACACATAGTCAATAATAATAAGTTAGTTTATACTGAATTAAGTTGAAATGAAATATACTGAATTTAGCTGAACTGTAAAGAAAACCGAAAAAAGAGATGTAATATTAGCCTGCACTAACTGCAGGGTTTTCCAAAACAAAATATGGCAGATGTTTTTAAAGAAGATTTTTTTTCACTCTCAATAAATTAGAAAAAGAAAAACATCCTCCAAACGTTTAGAAGTTTCTCTCTTCATCCCATTCCAAGACTTTAGATCTTTAAAGAAAAAAAGTTTATGACAAATGATTTATTTTGCTAAAAGAATAATTTACATCTCCAAAGGGCATTATAGATGAAACTGCAATATTTCTATATTTCCAGAATTTTTACTACTTTTTTCATTCTACCACTACTTCCAAAGAAAAACTCTTGCCTCAAATTTTTTTCAAAATGTCATATCACCCTACCTTTGTCCTTGGTCACTTCCAACCATGCAGAGCTTTTCATGTCAGGATCATCAACATGAAAATGCATGGCTATTCGCAAAAGATGGTTTTCTAAGCCTCCATATTCACCGTAAAGCATCCCAGAATCCTCTAGAGTGAATGTTAATAAGCATGATAGGGCTGGAATTGATGGTCCGGAACTCTTACCTTTCTACACTGATCTTTGGGAACTGTAATGGGAAAAGCACAAAGCTTCCCGCAACAGCTACTATACAATTATGAAGGCGTTAATATTAACTATCAATCAATTATACAAGCTAGACATAATTCCATCATTTAACTCTTATGACCAACCACATTCTATGAAAGAGATTATTAATATCTGAACCATATAGATGAAGAAAGGGAGGGTTTGATGACTTGCCTAAGACAACGAAGACAGTAACTTACAGGGACAACAATGATATTCTTGCTTCTGACTCCAAAATCCGCACTCTTAAGTTTAATGCCTTAAACCCTATCTCTCTTTGAGAGAGAATAAGAATAATATTAGCTATCATTTATTAAGCCTTACTGATTAAGCCCTAGCTTACTTGTTGCTTATAAATATACTCAATTTGAACTTATTTCCACATTAGCATCCACAAAATGCCACATCACTTTATTAGGCGAAATCAAGTAAAGTCCATCTGTGAGCCCCCAGTGGGCAAAATGGCAGGAAGCCCACTGGATGTCGTTAGGGAGGAGCTCCGTCTCCTCTCTACCCTTAAATAAGCACACTATCGAAGTTCCTGGCCCAGAACATTTGGGAATGGGCCCTGTTGTCATTACCTTGTCTATGTTATCTCTAAATTGTACTGCCCGGGGTCTGGCATCTGTGGGATTGCAACTGGCCACACCCTATTCAGGGTAATGCATGTCAACAGTGTCCAGGCCTCTGCTATTTTCCGAAACCCCAAACCTCTTTTTTCTTCCAACGTAGATAAATTCCCAGCATATATGCCAGTGTTTAGGACTCAGTCTTCTAGGGTTAGTGCTGAAGAACTAACATCTTCTACCATGAAGACCCGAAAAAGCTACTTCAGAAATTTTAACACATGAAGGAAATCTTCCAACAACCATAAAAAGAAAAAGAAAAAATATATATGTGTGTGTGTGTGTGTGTGTGTGTGTGTGTGTGTGTAACGGAACTACAGTATGCCAGACACTTTGCCATATCCTGCTCTACTTCGCCTACAAAACTGCAAGGTAGAGATTATTGTAATTGGTATTTAAGATGAGTAAACAAAAGATTAGAGAAGTTTTAAAAAAAAGTCCCCAAATCGTACAGCTATTTCACTCTTTGCAGACAGCCTGAGGAAAACTTTGTAGTTTATATTAATAATAATTACCATTTCTTGGGCTCTTAGTCTGCACCAAGGCAGTATACTAAGCACTTTATATCCATTAGTTTCCATAACAATTCTATAACTTTTTTCATTATCTCCACCTAAGAATGAGAACCACTGGAGCTCAGAGAAGCTAAGTCCTTTGCCCAGGACCACACGCCTTGTAATGAGGGAGTCTGGATGCCAACCTCTGTGTTAGAATTAAAAGTTGGATTCTTAAGCACTGCACAGCACAGTCTCCCCTCAAGGCTTTCAAGTGGAAGTGTGGCCCCAAAAGTACTAGAGAGATAGGTGGATAGAGCAGGCAGGGAGAAAAATGAAAAATACCAGCTAGTATTCCTGGTGTTTCTCTGCACCTTACCTTTGGAGCCCAGGGTACTCATTTTACAGGATTGAGTCACAGGACAAAAGAGCTGAGGCCTTGCTTGCTTTGTTTTGCAAACCACACACTGTAGAATGAGAACAATTATTAGTCATCTGCAGGCCTTGTGATGCTGGCAGCTTAGTCATTGAATAACTATTATAGATCACACATTCCTAATCCTTTGGATAGAGTCTCAAGCCACCTACACAATCCTTAAGCAACTTCTCAAAGTCCCTTGAGCTGGGGGTGGCTGCAGACACACTCTCCAGAAGCTATGCGTTCTTCCTACTGAAAGATGGACACCTTGTGGCCAGTAGCATAATGAGAAGTCATTCAGCAGAATGAGCAGGCATCGCTCTCATGCTTTCAGTTACCCACACACTCTTCAAATTATCCTTCCAGCAAGACTAGATACTCCAAGCAGTTTTAAGTCTTCCTTGGGGCACAGGAGTTTCATGTCAACTACGTTTGGTTTACATTTGTGTGACATGCTATCTCATGTGAATGAGATAGGAAAAGACAATACAGCAGGCATATGAGTGGGTAAAAGCACCGAATTCTAATAAAAATTATATGAACACACGTGCCACTATTGCCGGGTTTTGGGGTGCAGGGGAGTGCTTAGCTCCCCTGAGAGGATGTTTCTCCAGACTCCTTGTCTCCCACTCACCCAAGAATGGGAGAAGGGACCACCCCAGGTGTGGTACACTGGTAGATACCAGACCCCAAAACGTTTTGCAGAAGAGTGATTTATTTAGGCAGAGAAAGTGAAAAAGGTAAGAGAGAAAAAGGCTTCCACGAAGAGTGTGGAAGGGGACCCAAGTATGGAATCCAGGAGAGGAAAAGCAGCTTCCACGAGAGTGGAAGGGGACCCCAGAAGGGGAAGTCCACCCGGATGAGGGAGACCTGGACTTCTAACCTGGTAGGAATTCCCCCCTTCTCCAAGCCCCCTAGCCAATGAAAGGAATTCCTTTAACCTTCCACTGGAGTGACTGACTTTTCATTTTTTTTTTTTTCCCCACGCCAGCGAAAATTAAAACACAAACCGCTAAATCACCCGGATGGAGAGGCATGGGAGGGAGGCATGGCGCTGGGAAGTTCTTTCCCTTAAAACTACGCCCTCTGTGGACCCGGTAAGAGAACACATTCCCTCACCACTTAATACCTTAATGAAAAATAAGAGTTACAGCAATCTGACGAACTATTTATTTTGTTTCCTATTTTGAATTCTAAGTGTGGAGCTACTGAGATGACTAAAACAGCTGCTGTCCTCAAAGAACTCAAAGCTTAGTGGGAAGACAGAAACAACATTAATACAATAAAACTAAAGAGGTTAGCATGAAAGCTCAGAGGAGCAACATCCAAACCAAATGGAGTAGAAAGGGTAGGCAGAGGATAAGAAAGATTTCCTTGCGGCAATGAGAGCAAAGCCGAGCATTTTTTAACCTGTCCAAAGCAGCAACTACTAATGCAGTGCCCTGGCAATCCAGATGAGGTGGCACCATGATTGAGGATTTCATTCATATGTATTATAGCAGTAAAGATGCTTTGAACTTTAAATAACAGAAAGCTTGATATAGACTCATTTAAACAATGAGGGATAACTCTGTCACATAACAAGACGTGCAAGGAGGCTTCAGACTTAATTTATCAACACAAAGACATCATTTGGAACTTGTTTTCTTTTTCTCATTATTCTACTCCAAAATCCTCGAGCTCTTCTAAATCACAAGGTTGCTGCTGCAGTTCCAGGCACCATGTGCAGTCACAAAAACATTCGGCAAAAGCAGGTATCTTTTTCATGTAACAATTTTTATGAACAAGTAGAGTATTCCCAAAAGCTACCCAGAAGATATAAGGTTCCCCTCATATCTTATTGGTCATAAGTGGGATACTTTAATTGGATTAGTAAGAACTGAATAGAGGGAGGCTGTAATCTCCCCAAGAAAGGCTTGGAAAGTTTGAAGAGGGAGGAATATTTGTTGAGTAAGTAGCTAAATTTTTTGGTACACTGGGAGTAGGATATGTGAGAAAACAAACCTATCAAACATGGTGCAAACCAAACTCTTCCCATGGGAATTCTGATGGAACGCTGTCTCTGAATTGATTGATTTATTTGAGCGAGTATGTTGACTCCTGTAAATGGGGCTGTATCAAATGCTAAGCATTCCAGCTCCAAGCAGACAGAGCCGAAAGACTGGCCTTGGTACCATAGAACTTTTATATTAGAAATGACTCAGAAGTGATTTTAGAGATCTAGAAACTGCTCTGCCATTTACTCGATCCATGCTTTGTCCTGGCCTTTGCTGCTTGCTCTGTAAAGTGCTTTGCCCATCTGCAGCTTTGGGCCAAGAACCCATGTTTTTCTGAGGGTCCTTCCAGCTCTGAAAGTCATGTTTCTTTACTTTGATAAAGAAACGCGAGGCAAGTTCTTAACATTCCTCATCACCAACACTTTATGGGACTTCATATTGGTTTTAGAGATCTCACTAGAATGAAGATTCTTGAGTCAGCCTAGCAGATAACCAGACAACTTGTTGCTACTCTAAAACAAAACACTTGAGTTGGTTTTACGGCAAAAGAACTAAAAAGTACATGTGACCTTTCATTTGGTAGCAGCATCCTAGAAATTCATCTTACAGAAAATCTTTAAGCACAAAGATTTTTATCAAAATGTTATTGATCAGGTGTGAAAAGTACAAAACAACTAAATATCCAACTCTAAACACTTGTTTATATTAAGTGTCGTAGAGTTCTAAAGATCTTATAGCATGTAAAAAAAAGTTATATCTTACAATAGTAAGTGAAAAGTGGTACTAGTTTTATTTACAATATAATGATAATTATGTAAACCAAACAAAGCAAGCATTTAGAAGCAAAGGAAAAAAGGATGTAAAGAAAAGAAACCAAATGGTGCATAGTAGCTGCACTGAGAAATAACTCAAAGGTCATTTTTTTTCTTTCTATTTTTCTTTTGACACTTCCCAAAATGTTTATAATGAGTATGCATTGGTTTTATAATGGAGAAACACAACAAAAATCACTGATGGCTTATTTGATTGATTATCTTTATTAACTCAGTCTTACCTATAATTAATCTATATTACAGTTGTTGACAGGAAAAATCCAGGTGTTTAAGAATGAATTTCATTGGCATAGCTTGGTATTTCAAACTTTGCTTCATCGTATCAAGCTTACCTTCCAATCCAAGCTTCTCTCTCATAATGGTTCAAATGACAATGCGCAAAGGTCTTTGCAGAACCTGCTCTAGCCCTCCTGTCTCCACACCACCACACCCTGCTTTTATTATACCAATAATTTTTCCCAAGGTGCCCTTTCTTCTTTATTCGACTCCTCTCTAGAGGCCAATATCAGAAAGCTCAGCTAAAACACTGAATACCTTCCTGAATGATCTTGGGCAAATTATTTCACTTTTTAGAGTTTCCATTTCTACATTTCTAGAGAATGGAAATAATTTTTAATTTTCTTTTTCTCATTACTATTACACAAAAGTTACTGTACCTGGCACATAGTAGGAACACACACAAAAAAAGAAAGGACAGCTGTTTGTTTTTCCTCTGAATCCCTCTATCCCTAACTTACAGCCGTCTCAGTGTCTGGCACCACAGAAATAACGTTTCAAAAAACTCATGTTTATTGGATTTAAAAAACACCATTAGTGCTGCTACCAGACCCTGACAGATAAGGACCCGTGTCTGTGTGATTTTAGATGACTTATCTACATAAGAAAGTAGTCTAAAAGAGAGCTTCCTTCCTACATAGAGAAAGAGCTTTATTGACTTTGATCAGAAACGGGCTTTGGAAAACCACCTGCAGGCATCTCTGTAAGTATTCACCCACAAAGCAAAGAATATCAGAAAATAAGATGGAAAATTTTCTCATCGTTTTCCTCCCCACCCCCACACAAGGTCCCTATCTCAAAAGGAGGATTTGGTTGTGTTTTCAAATGGACTTTTGCACTTTTTCAAATATCAGCTAGATAGCAAAGCATCCCCACAGCTGAATAAGCACCATTAGGATGAAAGCTGTATCCTGGGGGCAGCATAAACTGTGATCCAGCTGCCCCTCCAGCTTGTGCAATGTCTCTTGTTTGATGAGAACAGGGAGGGAGTGGAGTGTCCTGTAGCCTACATCATGCAGGGTTAGCAGCCTCAAAGTTCATTTTGAAAGAAGAGCCATGATGCTTGGAGATGTTACTGAATTTCAACTTCCCCACTCAGAAATGCCATTGTTATAGAGTGGTGAAGGTGCTTCCATTCAGCACTTCTAGAGAAACCAACCCTATTCACAGGCAAGCAAAGTAAACCTCTTTCTTCAATCTGCAAATATTTGAAGCAGCCCTTTAGCATAATCACTTTTAAACAAATAAAAATAGAATACTGTACAAGCCATATCATCTTGTTGGTAGCTGGTTCTGAGGGAAGAGTATTTAAGGGGACAGTGAATTCAGGAGAGAGTAGTTTCAGCATAACAGCAGTGGAACTTCTTTTGGTTCTGCAAAAAGAAATGTGCTTGAGAAATGTTCTTCCAAATCCATTAACTTATTCATTCATCTGTTCGTTCAACAAACATTCAAGGATGAACTACTTATCATTTGCCTTTTTATTTATTCATTCAATAAACATTTACTGAGCACAGGATGGATATACCATGCACTTTCCTGTGTGTTATGAAGAATATAAACAGTTAACACTTACATTGTTGAATGATTATAATGTGCCAGGAATTGTCTAAGATCACACAACTGGTTAGCAGTACAGCCCAGAATGTATCCAGGAGCCTGACCCCAGACCCCATGTCTTTAACCTTCTGCTATGTTGCCTCTCAAAGATGCAAAATACCCAGATGTTAAGATGCAAGTCCAGGCCTCAAGGAGCTTACACTTTAGGAGGGTTAAGTGCCTTAAGAGAAGTTCAGGAAAAAGTATCAGGGACATTTGGAGAAAGAAGAAATGATTTCTTCTATGCTGAGAAAGAAACTCCTTGGAAATGGTAGGATTTGAGATGACTCATGATGGACAAGTCGCACTGAACAAGCATCGATGGGCACAAAAGGCATTCTAAG